AGGACGGAGCTTTGAGGTGCAGGAGGGAGCTCTGGCTTTGGGGGGGTCAGGGCTGGGGCAGGAGGAGCTGACCTCAAGCAGCTCCCCATCAGTGGTGCAGTGGGGGGGGGGGCTAAAGCAGCTTCCTGCCTCTCCTGGCACTACAGACCATGCTGTGCCCCAGAAGCAGCCTGCCGCAGGCTCCCAGCCAATGGGAGAGTGGAGCTAGTGCCAGGGGCAGGGGCAGTGCCCCGAGTCCTGTGCGCTCTCTCCACCTCACCTCAGAGCTGGGCCTGCTGCCGGCACTTCTGGGGCGCAGTGCAGTCTGTGGTGCCAAGACAGGCAGGGAGCTGCCTTAGCCCCCCCCACCTGATCCCCCTGCAGCAACGAGTCCCAGCGCCCGACATTCCACCCCCCAGCGGTGGGTCCTGGCCCGTCGCTTGAAAACCGCTGCTGTAAAGGACAAAAACTCGGCAAAGCCTCCTCCACCTGCCTGGAGCAAAGGGTTCAACTGGGCTCCACAAACAATTGCATCACAAAACCACCACACAGCTGTGAGCCACCGCTAGCAGAGAACAGCAGGGCTCCACTAACCATCAGTAGCGGGTGTCACAGGCCCGGCCCGAGGCATTCTGGTGTCCCAGGCACGGGTGTGTGGCGCTGCCCCTGGGCGCACGGCGCATGCGCGGCCACTGGCGCGCAGCCTGGGGCCCACCCCTGGGGTGCATGGCGAATGTGCGGCCCAGTCTGGCCTGGCCGTCGCTGCTGGCGTGCACGCTGGGCCCTAGGGTGTCAACAAAGACTGTAGAGTCAGGCCTATGTGAGGCATATGTGGTCGGTTCCCCAGCATGTGGCCCTGCGCCATACTATTGGCCCCGCCCAAAGCTCTGTTTTCATGCGCTGGAGATGGAGACCATGTATTTCATTGTATATGAAAACAATCATGAGTCAAAGTTCAAATTATAGTGAAAATACCTCTGTGCGCCCATTTGTCAACAAAGACTGTAGAGTCAGGCCTATGTGAGGCATATGTGGTCGGTTCCCCAGCATGTGGCCCTGCGCCATACTATTGGCCCCGCCCAAAGCTCTGTTTTCATGCGCTGGAGATGGAGACCATGTATTTCATTGTATATGAAAACAATCATGAGTCAAAGTTCAAATTATAGTGAAAATACCTCTGTGCGCCCATTTGTCTCGTAGAACTATCATGTTCCTTACGACACACACAAATAAGGCTGAAATATGGACGTCCATGTTAAACCAAGTGCAATAACAAAGTGTGTGAACCGCGCCCTGCAGTGTGAAATATAGAGCTTTCTTGGCTTCCAGAACACAAAATCTTTATGCCCAAATAAATGTGTTAGTCTTGCAGGTGCCCCAGGACATCTCCTTGTTTTTACTGGATTTGGGGCTTGGTACAACAATCTAGAACCCACTAAACACCTCCATGCTTTTCTCCTTCCCCCATCCCAGGACTAGAGGGGTTAATTGGATACTTCTCCTTGAATGGTCCCTTGAAATGTATTAGCTGCTTATGCTAAATAGTCTGTCCCACTTTGTCGTTAGTGGTGACATTTCCCAGACCTCGACAAGAGCGCTGCGTGTCTTGAAAGCTTGTGTCTCTCAATGCCAGAAACGGGTCCAATAAGAGAAATTACCTTACCCACCCGGGGAATACCCGTGGACACTGTGGCAACAATGGCACTGTATTTGGACATTTGTCAGCATGGTCCTTGTTATTTCTCTTGCCTTCCCTCTCAGTAGCTTTGCACATTTTTTTTCTAGGTTTACCAACTGCCTGCATCGGGGGAGCATCAATTTGGCATTCACTTGCTCTGATAGTTACAGACAAACATGTAGTGACATTTTGATTGCCATCTAGTGGCAGTCTTTCCAAGGTGCATTTTATCACTCCCTATATTTTGCAAACTCAACACCATATACTAAGTCACGGGGTGTGAATGTTTTGAGGAAATCAGCATATGTCAATATCCAACACTCAATAAACATGACTAACATAATCCTTTCCCGACGAGCTACACATCACTCTCTTTGATGGTCCAGGTTCCACGGGGACTGGAGATCAAAAGCAGCGTTCACGCTGGAGTCTGTACAAATCAGTGAGACTTTTGTGAAGATAACCTGCAGCAATGGTCATTACAATTCCTGAGTGGACTGACTATTTTTGTTTCAAACACCCCTGTAATCCATGCGTGTTGTCTGAGCTCTGGGTTCATCCCACTTACATTTAAGACAGTGGTAACATTCCCAGAAACGCGATTGGGAGCAGACGTGAGCCCATTGTGACTCTGAGTATCGGGGGGAAGATTCATCTCTAGCTCACATCGAGTGTAGCCCCCACCCCATTCCAGAAGGTGACACAAACAGAGCAAAGGTGTCCACTGTGAGCGTGCCAATGGACACCAGGCCATAGGAGGAGCAGGGCTGGATGAGGAGGTTCAACACCCCAACTTCTTGTGTGCTGCAAATCCCAGCACTCAGCTTGCTTCTATTCTAATCCCCGTGTATTTCCTCCTCCAGAGACAAATGTGGATCCAGTTACGTCCGACTATTATTATTTTGATCGTTCTGATGAAGTTCCAGATTTGGAAAGGCAGGAGGGAAAACACGACGAAATGCTCATGAAAATGTCTCCCCATTTAAAAAAAAAAAAGTCTGCTGCAATAACCATCTCCCTAAGAGTTTTTTCTTCATCCTGCTCATCAAGGAGTCCTGGCTGGGTTCCCAATTTACTCCTCATTTTGTTACCTTTTGATGGCCTGCTCCGGTTTTTAGCTCCTACTTGGCAGGCAACACATCGTTAGTGTCATTATTGTTTTATTAACCATTTTTTTCCCCACTGCGAGGTGCTCATACTCCGAAACTGCAAGGGCTAACAGAAAACAAGCTAAAGAACCCTGCATCCGGCAGCACATACACAAACCCACAATCCACAAGGGAAAGCAACAAATGTCAGTAAAGATGCATGCACAGAGAGAATCGCTCCTTTGACCACAGAGACCTTCAATCCCCCATCAGCAGAAAAGCAGCCATTACCTTGTAAAAGACTCGCCCCTGCTTCTTTAAATGAAAATGTGGCCAATTTTACCTTATATTACCTCCGCAATGAGTACAAAATGCATCATTGTACATGGTAGGTGAAAATTATGCCGTGGAAAGTCAATTTGCAGGCAAAATGGAGTTATCTATTATTTAGCAGGAAACTTTCCCATTAGTTAAAAAGATGTAGGCAACGCATGGGGAAAAAAGGAGGATATTTTCATGCCCCAAATATTCTTTCTTCAATAAATGCGATATTATAAATAAGCACCTTGTGCGATGCATACATCAGACACACTAACTTGCCTTCTGGGAGATGAGCGCTTCCTTAGAACTACAGCATCTACCGTTCCTTCTGTCCCCACCTACCAACCTGTCTTAGGGCATTCAGAGGAAATGTATCTCCCTGAGCTCTTCAAAGCTCCTGTTAAATGATATTCATCTATTAACAAGAGTTGTTCGCCTCAAGGGCTTCACCAAGAAGAGAATGCATTTGATAATGAGAGCAGAGTCAGGCTGATAAAAGTCATCAGGTCTCTGGTTTCCCCTTTAATTTTGAAGCCAGAGTCACATGGAAGAAAACAAAATAGGTGATTCGAATCTTCATTGTCATTTTACTGGTGGGAGAACAATTGGGGCATGTCTACACTGCCACCCTACTTCGAACTAGAGTGGCTAATGTAGGCATTCGAACTTGCAAATGAAGCCCGGGATTTAAATATCCCGGGCTTTATTTGCATGTTCCCACGCGCCACCATTTTTAAATGCCCCATAGTTAGAACTTCTTGCCCGCGGCTACACGCGGCACGGACTAGGTGGTTCGAATTAAAGCTCACAATTCAAACTTATTGTAGGAGGAGTAACGGTAGTTCGAATTAGGAGCTTTAATTCGAACTACCTAGCCCGTGCCGCATGTAGCTGTGGGCAGGGAGTTCGAACTACTGGGCATTTAAAAATGGTGGCGCCCGGGAACATGCAAATAAAGCCCGGGATATTTAAATCCCGGGCTTCATTTGCAAGTTCGAAAGCCTACATTAGCCACTCTAGTTCAAACTAGGGTGACAGTGTAGACATACCCTAGGAAACTTACCCTCAACACAAAAGGTCAATTCTCAGCCAGCTCTGCTTCTTCGGATATTTTTTTGACTTGGAACGCTTGAGTGAATTTCTAGTATCTTTAAAAGTCTCAGAGGGAGCGCCTTGCTGGTCTGCAACTTTAAAAACGAGTAGTCCTGTGGCATGTTAGGGTACGGCTAAGCTGCAGGGGTGTTTCAGGATACCTCTAGTATCCTGAAAAAACTCCGCCACATCCAGGGAACACGTTTTCTTTTCCACTTTTTTTTGCGGAAGAGCAAACATGCTCTTTTGGAAGCCCCTGTATTCCTCGTTCCATGAGAAAGAAGGGGGCTTTCCAAAGAGGGTTTTTTTCAGAAATTTGGCCCAGTCTAGATGGGCCAAATGTCGGAAAAGCCTCTTCCAACAAAAGTATAGGAAAAAGATATGCAAAATGCAGAGAGCATTTTGTGTTTCTTTTTCTGATAGATCCTCGCAATCTAGCTGCATTGTTAGAGATGAACAAAAATATAGTATCATGAGCTTTCATGGGCAAAATCCACTTCCTCAGTGGCTGTGGGTTTTGATTCTGACAAAGTGCGTTTTGCCCACAAAAGCTCATGATACCGTACATCTATATATATTTGTTAGTGGGAAGGAGGTTTGGTTCGAACTAACACATCCCAGCGTGCACTTCCTGGTTCGAATCATCTGTGATTCGAACTAGCGTGCCGGCAAGATCATGCTAATGAAGTGCGGGATATTTAAATCCCCGCTTCATTGACTATTTCGAATGCCTGCATTTGCATTCCTAGTTCGAACTAGGGTGCAAGTGTAGACATACCTTAGGTGCCACAGGACTACCTCATGGTCTAGTATCTTTGTTGCTCTTGGGTCTCCCCTTGTACCTCTTGTTCTGTGGATGTCTACAGCTCCTGCAGTGGTCAGCTGTGATGTTCAAATGGCTTGTGGCATCGTCTACACTGGCATGTTTTGTCACCAAAAACTGCCTTTTGGTGACAAAACTGTGAGATTGTGATGCCATCACTGTTTCATTGTGATGCCACTTTTGCTGGGAAAAATAGCCAGGCTGGTGACAAAAACCTTTCACTGGTGAGAGAGACTTTTGACTTTTCCACTCCCCTTATTGTGGACAAAGAGCCAATGTGGACTCTGCTGTTTCTTTTGTGGAGAGAAATGGCTTCTGCCAGCATCCCATAATGCCTGCCCTGATGGCTCTGTTCAGTGTTCTGTGATCTCTGCTGCCTGGTAGGCCTGCGTCCCTCCCCTTTCAAAGCTCTGGGAAGTGTGTGATAGCTGAGTGAGCTGCTCCATTTAGGGAACAAAGGAAGAACAAATCATTGGCCTGCTCCTGTTCTGCCTTGCTAGGAACACAGCAGCAGGCAGCTGCTGCTGGGGGAGGGCTGGAGAGACGGCTGTGCTGCTTTGACATTCCTCAGCACAGAGAGCTCCCAGAGCTCCCAGGGAATCCCAAGAAGCACACGGATTAGCTCTTCCTTCCCACAGCTGTGCCCTGTGGGATGCTCACCCACAATGCTTTACTCTAGCTGTTGAGAGGGAGCTAGCCACGTGGCCAGGAAATGTGGACAATGGGAGGCAGAAAACTGGTTTGACCGGTTTTCACTTTGGACGACTTTCGCATGTCGACAGCACTTTTGTCGCCAAACCTGCCCAGTGTTGACTGAGCCTCAGCCTTGAGGTAGGAAGCATAAGGCAACAGAACCCTTTATTCTCATGCACTGGGACGAGAGGGGGAAAGAGAAATTCCCTGACTGATGCCTACCCTTTCCTCAGGAGGGCACTTACTATGTTAGTTTTAATCCAAAAGAAACCTCACAAACCACTGGCCAAAATTAACCAAACAGTATCAATGCAGGAGCGCAAATGACCAAATGCTGCAGTTCTTTGAATAGAATTTGAATTAGGCCTCTGCTGGCGAGCCGTTTGCAAATCGCTGTGAAACAGGAGGGCAGCTAGGCAAAAACGAAAAACCAAACAAACCTAAATCCAAAAGACGAGAGCTTTTTATGCCATTTGATTGCTGACGAAATACTCAAAGTTGTAAATATTTTAGCATCTAACCATTTACACATGCCTGGTTAGTCCACACGGCCCTCACTCAGATGTGAGTAATTCAAACTCCCCAGATTTTGTACGTATGTAGCCGTCTGGGAAGGCTGAAAGCTCACCTCCAGCATGCGCTGATAAATACAGGTCTCACAATCCAATCTCTGGACAGAGAGCTCAGGACAAGATCTGCTCGCCAGCTAGGGGGAGGGGATGGCTCTGGAGAAACTGAGGCTGGGCCAGCAATGGCCTTTCGGGGCATTCCCATGGAGTTGCTTCTCTGACTCATGCCCATTCCATTCCGGTGTGGCTGCAGCAAAGCGTAGGGCCCTGGCCGGCTGCAGAGCATGCTTCCTATTGAACAAACTGTGACCCTTCTACTGGGGTACAGATCACAGCTAGAGGATTCTCTGCATCTTGGGGTCTTCAAAGTATTTGACGGCTTCAATATCTGAGCTATAGGTGAGAGGATTATTCTAGGACGGGTGGGTGAGATTTTGTGGCCTGCACTGTGCAGGGGGTCAGACTAGATGATCATAATGGTCCCTTCTGACCTTAAGGTCTATGAGTCTATGAGCTGAGAAACGTTGTCCCCTCTGGGAGGGAGGAGCCGTAGGTGAGCCCGTGGTTGAAAGGGATGTAGGCTGGAGGAGCCAGTGGGAGAAGGAAATCAAAGAGCTCCAGCTTCTCTGCAAGTGTGAGGCCCCATCCAGCTCAAGGCGTGTTCCCCAGTCATGGCAGGCCTAGAGTCTCTCACTGTGACGGCTGGCGTGTTAGCGGTGTGGCAGTATCACCGGGCTCCCAGGCTGTATCCCAGAGAGGAGACAAAAGTCACAGGGCGGTTAGTGGGGGAGGGAAGGAAGGTGAACAGTGAGACAAGCTCAGAGGGGCTAGGCCAGGGAGTGTGAAAGCGGGAGAAGGCTCGTGATAGTGAGAAACAGGACACTTTGCACGAGTTCACCGCTCGGTCTCCTCGGAGCAGATGGACTTGAGAACTACAGAGACTGTCACGCTGCCCGTGGAAGAAGGGGAGCGTGCAGGAGATGCCTTCTCCGCACCCCAGCCGGGGCTGTCTCTCGTTCGCACTCGCGATGAGCTGGAGCCCAATTAGCACGGCCGGCACAAAGTGAGAGCACGTTTGCAAAAGCACCAGTCTGCACCCTGTCTGCTCCGTAATGCTGTCCAGGAATCCTGCACAGGAAGCAAAGCCTATGGAGAGAGCAGACTCAACCCAAGATGGCTGGAACCCAGAGAGAGGGAGGAGGAAGAGCGAGGGCAGCGGGTAATGTAGGCAAGGGAAAGCGCAGCCTTCCCAAAACCACCTACACACCCGACCGCCGAAGGCTGGGGCCGTGGCGCAGCATCCCCGACCTTCCATGTGGCTAGGAAGGATCAGAGGGGAGGGGAGGGTCTGGGGCTTGCCTTCCCCAGCTGGGCTGTCACCCACCGCCCGGAGAGCCAGCCCGCTGCAGGAAGGTGTGCACTGTGACACGGAAATGAAAAATGAAGCAATTGAATAGAACCAAACTCACTGATGTGGTCCCGTGTCTGCGGAGAGAGGCCCCCTTAGCTGCATCCGGAACAGTAACAGGGGATGTTGGGTTTCAGAGGGAGCTGTGTTAGGGAGCGTCTACGCTGCACTCTAAACAGGAAATAAGATAGGCAGTTTGCGCTATGCAAATTGCGTATCTGATTTCAATTTTATTTCAAAACAGGCTGTTTCGAAATTAGGGCGTCTCCACGGCACCAAATTTTGAAATCAAGTGCTACTTCGAGCCATCCCTTATCCCTCATGCAATGAGGCTCACAGGGACGGTGAAATAGCACGTCTTGTTTCAAAAACTATTTTGAAATAACGGGCGTGTTCCTTGTATGCGGAGGAGCTATTTCAGACTACCTCTGGTAACCTGAAATAGCTTTGCAAGTGTAGACATACCCTCAGTCTGCTTCAGCAAAACCAAGGAGTCCGGTGGCAATGGATCTGAATAGAGACTGGGAATGCTTCTCCCCTTATCCTAAGCACCTTTCCCCTTTAGACAGCCTCTCCTTTTTATCTACCTCCACCCTGACTGTATTAGCTCTAAGGTACCACTCCCATCTCGGGACCCTGACAATCTGTTTCTTTTTCTCTTCCTTCATGCATCTGATTGCAACTTGGGAAAGCTTCTGCCATAATAAAACAGGAGCCGTGTCATTGTGTCATTCAGAACAGTCATGTTCCTAGTTAAGAAAAACAAACCAAACCAAACCACCGTCCTCTTCTTAGAAGAGAAAACGTAGGACGTGGACTCTGAGCTGCCTCACATCGGTTTTTCCCCAGTGATATTGCTTTGGTGCCAGGGGGGCTTAGTTCTGATTTACACCAAAATCAGTCAGCTCAGAGTCAAGCCCAGAGTCAAGCCCAGTCAAAGCAGCCTCTCCGAAAACAGTGGGAATTTGGGCAATTTAAAGACAAACTGTCCCCTGCAGGCCGAGCTGAGCCGCAGCACGGCTCATGCGGGTGAGAGCAAAGCACTTGGCACTGGGATTAAACTGTGGGGGGACATATAGCGGGAGAGATATATGGGGAAAAGAAAGTTTCCAATTACAAAAGACATTTGTGCATCTCCTGCTGGGAGCGTCCACATTGCTGAGAGCAGCAAGATCGCTTCTTATTCTGGCAGCGAGGGACAGATTCAGCAGAAGAGGCTGTCGCTTAATTCCACCCTCTCTCCTGCTTTCTTTTTGGGCTGTGTTGTAAAATTAAACTTGGTTAAGTAGGTCAGTGCTGCATGCAGCTGGTGTGTGCCATCAAAATAGGAAGCAGCAAAGGACAGGCTGGGCCTGAGATGTCTTTGCACTTCCATGCCGGGGCTTGTGGAGAGCATGCACCAGCCTACACTGCCACAGCCAGCGCTAGCTGCCTTACGAGGCCAGATGCAGGGAAATTCTCCATCCTCCCTTTCTCGAAAGCATCCCACACTGAGTGGGGGCGAGTGTATGTTTCATGCTGCGGGCGGACGTTTCGGTGGTAGTGGTGTTTCAGCTGGGGCCCAGGGCATTGACCCAGCTCAGGTTTCTCCCTGCAGAACCCTCAATGTTTATACCTGTATTTTTGTGCTCGCTGGAAACATTCAGCATTTATCATGAGTCTAAAATCGCTTTTATTCCTGGTTTTTTTTCTCTTTTGAAACTGATCAAGCTGCTCCGATTTGATTCATGACAGCTGTTGATTGCTGCACCTTAGCCAAGGAGGAGACTGGAAACCATGGGAGAAGGAGGCTTTTAGGAATTAATCCAAAGAAAGCATAGGGTGGGAGGATAAAAAGATTGCACTTCATCATGGCTTCTGCTTAATTTGTAACTGAAGCCCAGGTGTGATTTGTGGCGCATTCGTGCAGCGTAGGGCAATGCTATATTACACTGAGCATTTGTGTACTCCATAATTTCCACAGGATGGCTGCAATTTCTATCATAAATAAGCAAAGTCTAAAAAGCTGTTAGTGTAAGTTCATACCTGGTGATCGTGGTCGTATTTCAACTGGGGCTGATTTCCAGCAGCCGGACTTGGATCTAACTCTAGTTCAATAGGTTCAGGCTATCTGCTTTCTCCCAAAGGAATGCTGCACCTTGTCCATGTCTTCCATACCCTGCTACAAATCATAAACATCATTGAATCCTAGGGCTAGAGGAGACCTCAGGAATCATCAGGTCCAGCCCTCTGCCCAAAGCAGGACCAAGCCTAACAAAATCATCTCAGCCGGGGCTTTGTCAAGCTGGGACTTAAACACCTCTAGGGATGGAGATTCCACCCCCTCCCTAGGGAACCCAGCCCAGTGCTTCCCCACCCTCCTAGGAATGAGTTTTCCCTAATATCTGACCTAGACCTCCCCCACTGCAACTTGAGACCATT